ACACACACAAACACACACAAACGCAAACACACACACACACACACACTCGAATCAGTTTAACGCAGCAGTTGCAGTTGTTGCTCGTCTAGTTGCTGCATGTCTGTGACCTCTGAACGCTGAGCTCAAACGGTGCAGTGTTTCCTCCCAGAATGCCTCTCTTCAGCCCATCTCTCCCTCCAGAGACGCTTCCTAACCGCCCCGAGCCAAAGATCCAGCATTCGGCGGTCAGAAAACAACTCAGTTAGTTCTGGCAGGAACAGCTGAGAGTCCGTCTGCGGACGGTTAGTAATCGCAGGAGGATCTCAGGAACTGCAGTCTAGACTCACGTATCCAGATTTTAGAGTATCAGATTAAACTTTGATTCATCATGTTCCTCAATCATAATACAAAGGAAGCGTTATTATGAACTCATATTTTAGTTAAAAGCGTCTTAATGCTGGATTAGTTTCAGCTTTTGTCTTCTCCAGATGTTAACTGATGGACTGGAGTGCTGTGGATTACTTGTGGATTATTGTGACGTTTTTATCAGCTGTTTGGACTCTCATTCTGACGGCACCCATTCACTGCAGAGCATCCATTGCTGAGACAGTGATGCAATGCTACATTTCTACAAACCTGATGAAGAAACAAACTCATCCTGATCTCGGATGACCTGAGGGTGAACGCATTTCCATTTTTGGCTGAACTAGTCCATTTCTTGGCATTTCTCTTGATTTCAAGTCCTGATCTGTGAGCTTGTTTCATGCGAGTGTTAGTTTAGAGTATAAACGAGATGTTGATGCTGATAGGAGTGAAGGACTCGAGTCATTAGCAGCACGCTGAGGTTTCTGGACTCAGACACGACTAATGAGTGATTGATTCTAGTCCATCGATCAACAGAAATGTCAGCGCTGCAGAAATCATTCAGAATCCTCACAGTAAATGACAGACTGATATTTGAGCTCCGATACCTGCTGCTGGAAAACAAGCACTTCTAACAGAAACCACAACACGTATAATGAGCGAGTGCCCAGTGTATTCTGGGATACGCTACACAGAGTAGAGAGACTACTGACACACACACACAGACACACACACACACGCTCACCTCGCAGCGCAGCAGAGCCGTGTCGCCCAGATGAGCCGAGACCGACTCGGTGGGGACGACCACGCGCAGAGGACCTGAGGGAGAACCACATGACAGAGAGAGAGTTAAAAACAAGAATGCATCGAGATGCGCTGTGCTTACGTTTGTCTGGAGCAGATGCATGGGAGAGAGTTTTATTCATTCATTTATTTATTGTTTATTAAACAGGAACAGTACAGAATATCATCAGAGCACAGTATTGAGCAGCAACTGCTTCTCTCTGATATCTGATAGCTCATTTGTAATAAAATAAAAATAAAAACATGAATGAATAAAAAAATAAAAATACAATAAATTAATTAATTTATTAATTTATTAAAAAAATTTAAATAACATGAATTGTCTTTACACCAACTGACAAACAATCTAAAATTTGAAACACAAAGAGAAAACATGAATGAAAATGAAAATGAATGAATGGAAGAATAAATACATTAAAAATAAAATAAATGAATAAATAAATAACTTAATAAAAATTAAAATAAATTGTCGGTACAACAATTGACATTCTAAAATTTAAAACACAGAGAGAAAAAATGAAAAAAATAAAAATTAATGAATGAATGGATGAATTAATGAATAAAAAATAAAATAAACAAACAAATAAATAAATAGTAAAAATTAAATAACAAATGAATTGTCAACAACTGACAAACAATCTAAAATTAAAATCTTGTAGAGAGAAAAAATTATAAAAATTAAAAAAAATGAATGAATGAATGCATGAATAAAAAATAAATAAAAAAAAGATTAAATAATTATTAAAAATGAAAATAAATTAATTGTCAGCACAACAGCAACTAACAAACAATACAAAATTTAAAACATGTAGAGAAAAAAAATGAATAAAAATAAAAATGAATGTATGAATGGATGAATAAATTAATAAAAAATAAAATAAACAAATTAAATAAATGAATACAAATTAAAATAAATGAATTGTCGGTACAACAACTGGCAAACAATCTAAAGTTAAAAAACATAGAGATAAATAAATAAACAAAAAATATTTTTGAAAGAAAGAAAGTCATGTGAATTGTCACGTTTGATTCAGTGTCTTATTTGCTGTTTCTTTGTAATTATTTGTGAAAAACATCAAAGTTTGTTCAGCCTACTAAATGTGTGTGTGTGTATACACACACACACACACACACACACAAACACACAGTCTCATATGTGATGAAGTTCATGAATAGTGTTCTTATGTTAATGTGATTCTGCTCATAATTAGACACAGACGTGTGTTTAACCTGTGCTGCGGCTGTGTGTTTACTGTGGACTGTGTATTACAGCAGCTCACATGGGAACCCCAATTATTCCTCAGATTTTTGCCAACAAAATGTGCTGCCGGGGGGTTATCGCACTGATTATTGTTAACATTGTTCCCTAACTGCCTCCAATTACGCTCAGCGGCGCACTAGCAGCCGACGGTCAAAAACACACTCACTCAGACACACACACTCACACACACACACACACTCACACTCACACACACACACACACTCACAGCCGTATGTAACCTCAGATTACTGCCACAGCACATCAGCGAAGTAAAACAAGGAACGCCAAACAGATTGAGCCTAATATATATACATGATCATCACTTACAGACGACTGCAATCATGAGATCTGAAAACAAGCAAACTATGATTCAGCATATTAGAATGATTTCTGAAGATCATGTGACACTGAAGACTGGAGTAATGATGCTGAAAATACAGCTGCGCATCACAGAAATACATTACAGTTTAACAGATATTCACATAGAAAACAGCTGTTTTAGATTGTAATAATATTTCACAATTTTTACTGTATTATTGATCAAAATAAATGCAGTGTTAATGAGTGGAAGAGACTTAAAAAAAAATTCCAGCACCTGAACTCACTGTGACCTGGAGCAACATCTCCATCACACACACACACACACACACACACAATAGGCTTGCCGCGATAGACGGTGTTGCCGGTGATACCGGTGTTGCCCACCGCGTCACCGACCCCCACCGTCGTTTTGATTTTTTATAGAAATAAAAATCATTTAGTTCAGTAAAAGAACAGACACTACAATTAAAAACTGAACGCGGCTGCTCAATGCAGCGTGCCGAACGTCCGACCGTCGCATCACAGATGGAAAATTGAAACGAACTAAAAACGAACAATTGCTTTACTCCGAATTGCCGCTATTTGAAAGTGAAAGTAAAATGCGCATGCAGCTTTTACAAGCTATTTAAAAGCGAAGGAAAGCGAGGAAAAGAGGGAATGCCCCGCCCCCGCAGTGATACCGGTATTACCGGTGTTGTCACACGTCGTTTAACCGGTGGGAAAATGTCCTCACCGTCACAACACTAACACACACACACACACTTGTGTGTTAAGAATGTGCTGAATGTGAGCGTTTCCTCTGCTGATGAGAGACACTGCGGCCTGTGATTACAGAGCTTCATTATCTGCTCTCATTAAGAGGGTGTTCATATGCAAATGAGCGGGGAGAGCGTCTAAATCTAATTAACACAGAGAGAAAAATTAGGAGGAATAATTCAGCTTCTGCATTCCCAAAATAGAGCGAGAGAAAATAGGATGATGATGCTGCGGGAGAACAAGAGAGAGAGAGTGTCACACACACACACACAGAGAGAG